CTACCTGCCTGCCTACCTACCTGCCTGCCTGCCTACCTACCTGCCTACCTACCTGCCTGCCTGCCTGCCTGCCTACCTACCTACCTGCCTGCCTACCTGCCTACCTACCTGCCTGCCTACCTACCTGCCTGCCTACCTACCTGCCTGCCTGCCTACCTACCTGCCTACCTACCTGCCTGCCTACCTGCCTTCCTACCTGCCTGCCTACCTACCTGCCTGCCTACCTGCCTGCCTACCTGCCTGCCTACCTACCTGCCTGCCTGCCTACCTCCCTGCCTACCTGCCTGCCTACCTGCCTGCCTACCTACCTGCCTACCAACCTGCCTCCCTACCTGCCTGCCTACCTACCTGCCTGCCTACCTACCTGCCTCCCTACCTGCCTGCCTGCCTACCTGCCTACCTACCTGCCTACCTACCTGCCTGCCTACCTACCTGCCTGTCTGCCTACCAACCTGCCTCCCTTCCTGCCTGCCTACCTACCTGCCTACCTACCTGCCTACCTACCTGCCTACCTGCCTACCTGCCTGCCTACCTGCCTGCCTGCCTACCTACCTGCCTGCCTACCTGCCTGCCTACCTGCCTGCCTGCCTACCTACCTGCCTGCCTACCTGCCTGCCTGCCTACCTGCCTGCCTCCCTACCTGCCTGCCTACCTACCTGCCTACCTACCTGCCTGCCTACCTACCTGCCTCCCTACCTGCCTGCCTGCCTACCTGCCTACCTACCTGCCTACCTACCTGCCTTCCTACCTACCTGCCTGTCTGCCTACCAACCTGCCTCCCTACCTGCCTCCCTACCTGCCTCCCTACCTGCCTGCCTACCTACCTGCCTACCTACCTGCCTACCTACCTGCCTACCTGCCTGCCTACCTGCCTGCCTGCCTACCTACCTGCCTGCCTACCTACCTGCCTCCCTACCTGCCTGCCTACCTACCTGCCTGCCTACCTGCCTACCTACCTGCCTGCCTACCTGCCTGCCTACCTGCCTGCCTACCTGCCTGCCTGCCTACCTGCCTACCTGCCTGCCTACCTGCCTGCCTGCCTACCTGCCTGCCTACCTGCCTGCCTACCTGCCTGCCTGCCTACCTGCCTGCCTGCCTACCTACCTGCCTGCCTACCTGCCTGCCTACCTGCCTGCCTACCTACCTGCCTGCCTACCTACCTGCCTGCCTACCTGCCTGCCTACCTGCCTGCCTACCTACCTACCTACCTACCTACCTGCCTGCCTACCTGCCTGCCTGCCTGCCTACCTGCCTGCCTGCCTGCCTGCCTACCTACCTGCCTGCCTACTTGCCTGCCTACCTGCCTGCCTACCTGCCTGCCTACCTACCTGCCTACCTACCTGCCTGCCTACCTGCCTGCCTGCCTGCCTACCTGCCTGCCTACCTGCCTGCCTGCCTACCTACCTGCCTACCTACCTGCCTGCCTGCCTGCCTACCTGCCTGCCTACCTACCTTCCTACCTACCTGCCTGCCTACCTGCCTGCCTGCCTACCTACCTGCCTGCCTACCTGCCTGCCTACCTACCTACCTGCCTGCCTACCTACCTGCCTGCCTACCTGCCTGCCTGCCTACCTGCCTGCCTGCCTGCCTACCTACCTACCTACCTGCCTGCCTGCCTACCTGCCTGCCTACCTGCCTGCCTACCTGCCTGCCTACCTACCTGCCTGCCTACCTGCCTGCCTACCTGCCTGCCTACCTGCCTGCCTACCTACCTGCCTGCCTACCTGCCTGCCTGCCTGCCTGCCTGCCTGCCTGCCTGCCTGCCTGCCTACCTACCTGCCTACCTACCTGCCTGCCTGCCTACCTGCCTGCCTACCTACCTTCCTACCTACCTGCCTGCCTGCCTGCCTGCCTACCTGCCTGCCTACCTGCCTGCCTACCTACCTGCCTGCCTACCTGCCTGCCTACCTGCCTGCCTACCTACCTGCCTACCTACCTGCCTACCTACCTGTCTGCCTACCTGCCTGCCTACCTGCCTGCCTACCTACCTGCCTACCTACCTGCCTGCCTACCTACCTGCCTACCTACCTGCCTGCCTACCTGCCTGCCTACCTACCTGCCTGCCTACCTGCCTGCCTACCTACCTGCCTACCTACCTGCCTGCCTGCCTACCTACCTACCTGCCTACCTACCTGCCTGCCTACCTGCCTGCCTACCTGCCTGCCTACCTACCTACCTGCCTACCTACCTGCCTGCCTGCCTACCTGCCTGCCTGCCTACCTGCCTGCCTACCTGCCTGCCTACCTACCTACCTACCTGCCTACCTACCTGCCTGCCTGCCTACCTGCCTGCCTACCTGCCTGCCTACCTACCTGCCTGCCTACCTACCTGCCTGCCTGCCTACCTACCTACCTACCTGCCTGCCTGCCTACCTGCCTGCCTGCCTACCTGCCTGCCTACCTGCCTGCCTACCTACCTACCTACCTGCCTACCTACCTGCCTGCCTGCCTACCTGCCTGCCTACCTGCCTGCCTACCTACCTGCCTGCCTACCTACCTGCCTGCCTGCGTACCTGCCTGCCTGCCTACCTGCCTGCCTGCCTGCCTACCTGCCTGCCTACCTGCCTGCCTACCTACCTGCCTGCCTACCTGCCTGCCTACCTGCCTACCTGCCTGCCTGCCTACCTGCCTACCTACCTGCCTGCCTGCCTACCTACCTGCCTACCTACCTGCCTGCCTACCTACCTACCTGCCTACCTACCTGCCTGCCTACCGACCTGCCTGCCTACCTACCTACCTGCCTGCCTGCCGACCTGCCTGCCTACCTACCTGCCTGCCTGCCTACCTGCCTACCTACCTACCTGCCTACCTACCTGCCTGCCTACCGACCTGCCTGCCTACCTACCTGCCTACCTACCTGCCTGCCTACCGACCTGCCTGCCTACCTACCTGCCTGCCTGCCTACCTGCCTACCTGCCTGCCTGCCTACCTACCTACCTACCTGCCTACCTACCTACCTGCCTACCTGCCTACCTACCTGTCTGCCTACCTACCTGCCTACCTACCTGCCTACCTACCTGCCTACCTACCTACCTGCCTACCTGCCTACCTACCTACCTGCCTACCTACCTACCTACCTACCTACCTACCTACCTGCCTGCCTACCTACCTGCCTGCCTACCTACCTACTTACCTACCTGCCTACCTACCTAGCCTACTTACCTACCTGCCTACCTACCTAGTCTACTTACCTACCTGCCTACCTACCTAGCCTACTTACCTACCTGCCTACCTACCTAGCCTACTTACCTACCTGCCTAGCCTACTTACCTACTTACCTACCTAGCCTACTTACCTACCTACCTAGCCTACTTACCTAGCCTACCTACCTACCTACCTAGCCTACTTACCTACCTACCTAGCCTACTTACCTACCTACCTGCCTAGCCTTCCTACCTACTTACCTACCTACCTACCTACCTAGCCTACTTACCTACCTACCTAGCCTACTTACCTACCTACCTGCCTAGCCTTCCTACCTACTTACCTACCTACCTACCTACCTAGCCTACTTACCTACCTACCCTACTTACCTGCCTACCTAGCCTACTTACCTACCTGCCTATCCCACTAACTAACCTACCTACCTAGCCTACTAACTAAACTACCTACCTAGCCTACTAACCTACCAACCTAGCCTGCTAACTAACCTACCTAGTCTACTAAATAACGTACCTAGCTAGCCTACTAACCTATCTACCTAGTCTACTAACCTACCCACCTAGCCTACTAACCTACCTACCTTCCTAGCCTACTAGCTAGCCTGCCTTCCTACCTAGCATACTAGCTAGCCTACCTACCTAGCCTACTAGCTAGCCTGCCCACCTACCTAGCCTACTAGCTAGCCTGCCCACCTACCTAGCCTACTAGCTAGCCTGCCCACCTACCTAGCCTACCTACGTAACCTACTAGCTACCCTGCGTACCTACCTAGCCTACTAGCTAGCCTGACCACCTACCTAGCCTACCTACCTAGCCTACTAGCTAGCCTGCTTACCTACCTAGCCTGTCTACCTAGCCTACTAGCTACCCTGCCTACCTACCTAGCCTACTAGCTAGCCTACCTTGCCTACTAGCTAGCCTGCCTACCTACCTAACGTGTCTACCTAGCCTACTAGCTAGCCTGCCTACCTAGCCTGCCTACCTAGCCTACTAGCTAGCCTGCCTACCTACCTACCTAGCCTACCTACAGACTAACAAACCTACCTAACCTCCAAACTAAGTAACCTCCTAAGCAACCTTCTAGCTAAGTAACCTCCTAACTCAGTAACCTCCTAAGGAACCTAACTATCCTCCTAACTAAGTAACCAGCTAACTAAGTAACCAGCTAAGTAACCAGCTAAATAAGTAACCAGCTAAGTAACCAGCTAACTAAGTAACCAGCTAACTAAGTAACCAGCTAACTAAGTAACCAGCTAAATAAGTAACCAGCTAAGTAACCAGCTAACTAAGTAACCAGCTAACTAAGTAACCAGCTAACTAAGTAACCAGCTAAATAAGTAACCAGCTAAGTAACCAGCTAACTAAGTAACCAGCTAACTAAGTAACCAGCTAAGTAACCAGCTAAATAAGTAACCAGCTAACTAAGTAACCAGCTAACTAAGTAACCAGCTAAATAAGTAACCAGCTAAGTAACCAGCTAACTAAGTAACCAGCTAACTAAGTAACCAGCTAACTAAGTAACCAGCTAAATAAGTAACCAGCTAAGTAACCAGCTAACTAAGTAACCAGCTAACTAAGTAACCAGCTAACTAAGTAACCAGCTAAATAAGTAACCAGCTAAGTAACCAGCTAACTAAGTAACCAGCTAACTAAGTAACCAGCTAAATAAGTAACCAGCTAAGTAACCAGCTAACTAAGTAACCAGCTAACTAAGTAACCAGCTAAATAAGTAACCAGCTAAGTAACCAGCTAACTAAGTAACCAGCTAACTAAGTAAACAGCTAACTAAGTAACCAGCTAAGTAAGTAAGTAGGTACTGGAGGTAGGTAATACGGCGTGACCATCAGTGGCCCTAAAAAGTCTGAACAACATAGTGGTGGTGATGGCGTCTTCTTAACACTGGTGTTTTCTGCTGTTATGGCGCGTTATCCACCTTAATATACCTCACTAGATAGGTCAGTGGTTAGCTCTTGATCCAGGGAGTGTGAGAGAGTTGCGTAATGAGGGTTAATAAGGGGAAAGTGAGTGAGGAGAGGCGGATGTTAGTCACCTCCGGTGAAGGCTGAGGGATACTCTCACAGGGATACTTTCTATGTGATAATCTCCCTGGGATACTTTATTGAGTATCCCAGACATATTATTTATCTAGAATACTCTAGGATGCTTTTCAGGAATAATCTCTCTGGGATACTTTATTAAGTATCCCAGAGAGATAATTTATCTGGGATACTTTATTGAGTATGCCAGTGATAATTTATCTGGGATACTTTATTGAGTATCCCAGAGAGATAATTTATCTGGGATACTTTATTGAGTATGCCAGTGATAATTTATCTGGGATACTTTATTGAGTATGCCAGTGATAATTTATCTGGGATACTTTATTGAGTATCCCAGAGATAATTTATCTGTGATACTTTATTAAGTATCCCAGAGAGATAATTTATCTGGGATACTTTATTGAGTATCCCAGAGATAATTTATCTGGGATACTTTATTAAGTATCCCAGAGAGATAATTTATCTAGGATACTTTATTAAGTATCCCAGAGAGATAATTTATCTGGGATACTTTATTAAGTATCCCAGACATATTTATCTGGAATTCTCTAGGATGCTTTTCAGGGATACACTCTCTGGGATACTTTTTCAGAGATAATCTCTCAGGGATACTTGATAAAGTATCCTGGAGAGGTGATTGATCTATAATACTTTCCAGGGATTCTCTCTGGGATACTCTTTCAAGGATACTCTCCCTGGGATAATTTATTAAGTATCTGGTATGCTTTATCTAAGATACCTTCTCTCTGGGATACTTTTCAAAGATAATCTCTGGGATACTTTTCAAAGATAATCTCTGGGATACTTTTCAAAGATAATCTCTGGGATACTTTTCAAAGATAATCTCTGGGATACTTTTCAAAGATAATCTCGGGGATACTTTTCAAAGATAATCTCGGGGATACTTTTCAAAGATAATCTCTGGGATACTTTTCAAAGATAATCTCTGGGATACTTTTCAAAGATAATCTCTGGGATACTTTTCAAAGATAATCTCGGGGATACTTTTCAAAGATAATCTCGGGGATACTTTTCAAAGATAATCTCGGGGATACTTTTCAAAGATAATCTCTGGGATATACTTTTCAAAGATAATCTCTGGGATACTTTTCAAAGATAATCTCGGGGATACTTTTCAAAGATAATCTCTGGGATACTTTTCAAAGATAATCTCTGGGATACTTTTCAAAGATAATCTCGGGGATACTTTATCAAGTATCCCCGAGACATAATTTATCTGGAATACTTGATGAAGGATATTCCATGGTATTTTTCAGGGATAATTTGTCTGGGATATTTTATCAAGTACAGTTATACCCCATCCTATGGGGTATGACTGTACTTGGTTCTGTACTTGACTGACTGTACTTGGTACTTGGTTCTGTACTTGACTGACTGTACTTGGTACTTGGTTCTGTACTTGACTGACTGTACTTGGTACTTGGTTCTGTACTTGACTGACTGTACTTGGTACTTGGTTCTGTACTTGACTGACTGTACTTGGTACTTGGTTCTGTACTTGACTGACTGTACTTGGTACTTGGTTCTGTACTTGACTGACTGTACTTGGTACTTGGTTCTGTACTTGACTGACTGTACTTGGTACTTGGTTCTGTACTTGACTGACTGTACTTGGTACTTGGTTCTGTACTTGACTGACTGTACTTGGTACTTGGTTCTGTACTTGACTGACTGTACTTGGTACTTGGTTCTGTACTTGACTGACTGTACTTGGTACTTGGTTCTGTACTTGACTGACTGTACTTGGTACTTGGTTCTGTACTTGACTGACTGTACTTGGTACTTGGTTCTGTACTTGACTGACTGTACTTGGTACTTGGTTCTGTACTTGACTGACTGTACTTGGTACTTGGTTCTGTACTTGACTGACTGTACTTGGTACTTGGTTCTGTACTTGACTGACTGTACTTGGTACTTGGTTCTGTACTTGACTGACTGTACTTGGTACTTGGTTCTGTACTTGACTGACTGTACTTGGTACTTGGTTCTGTACTTGACTGACTGTACTTGGTACTTGGTTCTGTACTTGACTGACTGTACTTGGTACTTGGTTCTGTACTTGACTGACTGTACTTGGTACTTGGTTTCTGTACTTGACTGACTGTACTTGGTACTTGGTTCTGTACTTGACTGACTGTACTTGGTACTTGGTTCTGTACTTGACTGACTGTACTTGGTACTTGGTTCTGTACTTGACTGACTGTACTTGGTACTTGGTTCTGTACTTGACTGACTGTACTTGGTACTTGGTTCTGTACTTGACTGACTGTACTTGGTACTTGGTTCTGTACTTGACTGACTGTACTTGGTACTTGGTTCTGTACTTGACTGACTGTACTTGGTACTTGGTTCTGTACTTGACTGACTGTACTTGGTACTTGGTTCTGTACTTGACTGACTGTACTTTGTACTTGGTACTTGGACTGTACTTGGTACTTGGACTGTACTTGGTTCCAAGAGCCCCGAACGTAATCCGATTTTTGACATGAACCAGACGTAATGTCTTAAAGCTGCCTTAATGTGACGACAACCATCGCTAAACTAGCTTAAATAACTCGTGAAAGAATATAACCATTGCTGAACCATAAACAACACAAAAAACACATTTTAGTCATATTTTTAAAGAATAATGAACAAAAAATTATGACGCCGGTGATGTTGCCGAGCAACGTAAAGTCGGATGTAATGACGTTCGCTGAACTGAAATTTACTCCAGAAAAGTGACGCAAAGGCGAATTTATTGGCCAAAATGACATAAAGTGGAATATGTCTGTATACCAGAGAGAGATTTTATGTAGTATACTTTATCTGGGATAATGTCTCTCTCTAGGATAATCATCCTACATAATTAAGACAGCAATACTACATTATGTTAAACACAACCAGTTTTCATCCTGTTCTGTTCCAGGTTCTCCTTCCATCCTTCAACTCCCACACATAATTGGTAACACATTTTGTCCTATTCTGTTTCTGTTGTAACAAAAATATATTGCTGTATCTTCACTATTAATTCAGCAGTTTTGTAAGACCCTTACAGGTTTAGTGTTTGGTTATGATTATAATAATTACCATTTACTCTGCAAAACTAAAGAACATTGAATAATCTTGAATAAGTAATATTGTATTAATGGTACCATTTGTTCATTAACTTCCTTTATTATTGTACTTATGATTGTACTTAACTGCATAAGAACGTCTACTTAGTTATCCATGCCTAAATCGTAAGTAACATTTTTATTTTAGGATTAGTTTGCTTGAAATTAATTTCAAAATTAGTGGCTTTCTTATATGCTTACTAATAATAATAATAATCTTCTTCTACAAGTACAGCCTCTCCTCGCTTAATGACGCAGTTGCGTTTCTAAGACCATGTGGTTAAACGAATTCGTCACTAAGTGAGGAGCACACTATAATGGCAGTGAGTTTGTGTCAACCATCTTTGATATTGTTTTAATGTCACTTTTGCACCAATTATAACATTTCTGGTATATTTTTAAATGTTTATGTAGTAGTGTACTGTATATTGAAATAAACAGAATAGAGGAAATCAGCTCTAATATATGTTATTTAGGTATGCATACTAGTCAGAGAACCCGTAAACGAGTATGTCGCTAAGTGAGGAGAGGCTGTACATGATACAGCTTGTACAGACCATAACTAACATCAGTGACATGCTACATAGAAAGTTCCTGGTTATGTAGAACATTTCCTACAACTTAGGTCAGTTTTGTCCCCAGGATGCCGCTCACACCAGTCCACTAACACCCAGGTACCTACTTACTGCTAGGTGAACAAGGACAGCAGGTGTCTTAAGAAAACATGCCCAGTGGTTATTACATGTTCAAACCCCATCCATTCCGTGTTTTTTTTTTTTATATCGTCAGACTTAATTGAGTGATTCAGAAGAGAACCAGACAGTATAGTTATGAACTAAATCCAGAAATAATGTCTTTTTGGTATCTTGTTTAATAAATCCAGTGATTGTATTTTACCTGGAGGGTGTTTTGGGGGTCAACTCCCCCATGGCCCAGTTCATGACCAGGCTTTGTGGTGGATCAGGGCCTGATCAAACAGGCTGTAGCTGCTGGCTGCATGCAATCCAGCATAGGAATCACAGCCTGACTGGTCAGATACTGACTTTAGTATCTGTTCAGTTCCCTCTCAGAGACAGCCAGGGGTCTATTGGTAATCCCCCTTATGTGTACCAGGAGGCTGTTGAACAATCTTGGGCCCCTGACACTTTTTGTGTTATTTCTGTGTACTCAAATCACTTCTGCTGAGTCTTTTGCTTTCATAGGTTGGTGATTTCTGTGTGCAGATTTGGGATCAGTAATTACTGTATGTGTTAATTGACAGTCTGTTAATTATAGGTTTTGTGTATATATATATACAGTGGACCCCCAGTTAATGATATTTTTTCATTCTAGAAGTATGTTCAGGTGCCAGTACTGACCGAATTTGTTCCCATAAGGAATATTGTGAAGTAGATTAGTCCATTTCAGACCCCCAAACATACACGTACAAATGCACTTACATAAATACACTTACATAATTGGTCGCATTGGGAGGTGATCGTTAAGCAGGGGTCCACTGTATATATATATTAATACTGTACTAATAGAGTATTATTCTAGTATCATATTCTACTGTTATTAATATTCCTTCATTTTTCTAGGACAAATGAAGAATGATTCCCAGCTTGCAGTCTGTAGCTGTTAAACATGCAAGTTCCCGGCATCAACACAGAAGAGCCTCAAGTGGCAGTCAGGATTTAAGGAACCAGACTGTACTACCCATCCACATGGCTCAGGAATGTACCGAGGCTCCAAGATGGCCTTGTGACTCCGTCTACGTGGCAAATTATTTTGAGGAACCTACCTCGAGGCATGTCGGCGAACAGCCGGGCCTACCGACAGGCCCGAGTAGCAAACTAGCGAGAGTTCGGCTGTGTAAATCTCCCACTTCTAACCATGAGTGTAATAAATATTTTGTCAGAACAGCAGGAGGCATGAGTGTCTCAGTACCCGAAGCAGAGCATAAACAAACGCCTCTTCCTGCACCACAACTTGAAGATGGAACTCTGGAGAACAGTGACGTGGCAGTCAGAATGCCTGCCACTAAGAGCCGGACAAGTCACACCAACAGTTACTTACCAATCAGTGTGGAACTGATAGGCGGTAGAGGTCAAACTAGTATGCCTGGGGATGGGAACAAGAGCTCTAGCAGCACAAAAGTAAGAAGTCTGCCACCATCACATACATTAGCAATGTCTGCCTCTTTTATCAAGTCATATTTCAGCTCCGGTCCTGAAAAACAATCAAAAAGTGCTGGTTCGACTCCAGAGAGCGAGACATCCGTCAAAACAAAAATGTTGGGTTTGTGGAATAATGTCAAATATGGTGAGTGGTAATGGTCAGTTATAATGGTGAAGCATAATGGTGACTGGTAATGATGAGTACATGTATATGGATCATAATGTTTGAATCATTATATTTGACAAAGTGACATAAATGATAATACATGTATACTAAATAGAAAGTCCTTGTTTATACAGAGCATTTCCTGGAAACTAGGTTAAGTTTGTCCCCTGGAAGTGACTCGCACCAGTCCACTAACACCCAGGGGCCTACTTACTACTGTGTGAACAGGGACAGCAGGTGTCTTAAGGAAACGTGTCTTAATGTTTCCAGCTGTACAGGGGATTGAACCCCGCATGTCTGTGTGAGAGCTGAGTGAGCTACCAACCCAGCTACAGGGCACCTTAATAGTAATAATGCATGTACAGTGGTCCATTGTTTTTCGTAATTAATCCGTTCCTGGAGCCGTTACTATAAACGAAATTTACGATTTGGGAATCAATTTTCCCCATAAGAAATAATGTAAATACAATTAATCTGCTCCTGACACCCAGAAGTATTAAAACAAAAAAATTTTTAACATGAAATATACATGTAGTACATAAACAATACAATGGGAAATGATGAATGAAACATTAACAGCATAACACTTACCTTTATTGGAGATTCTTCTTAGTGTATGGGAGACTGGAGGAGGAGAGAGAGTGGATTGTTTATAGTTTGGAAGGGGAATCCTCTTCCATCAACACCTCAGGTACCATTTGCTTTTCTGGGGTTGCTTCTCTTCTCTGTTTCTTAATGCCACTAGGACCACCTTGAGAGTCACTGGAGTCCTGTCTCACAAAGTAACTGGAGAGAGCTCTGTTTCTGGCGTCTCTTTAACACTTCCTGAAAATGGCCCAAGACTTTGTCACTGTACATATTTCTCACCTTCTTTACCACAGGCTTGACACTAGAAGCTTTCTTTGGAGCCATGGTAGCTTATTTGGTAATTGCAAGCACTAAAATGAGTGGAATATTATGAAATATTTCATAGGAGCACTTGAGGGGACCTTCACTCACTGGTAAACAATGCCAGACTGGCTGGGTAGGGACGCCGCCCCAGCTCACACCGTGCGTACGCATCCCAGACGAACTACTATTCGCGAGTCAACCTATGAAAGCGAGTCCATGTTTATGTGAAAATACCCCTATGATTGGCGAAATTTACGATTGCCGAGAACTACGAAAAGCGAGGGACCACTGTATTTGTTTTTACATTAAGTGATTACACTGAGAGTAATGTTTAAAAAGTAATTGATTTTGTATATTACTAATTTAATATATTAAGTGATAGTAAATTAATGCTTCAAGGGTTTGCAATGTACAGATAAAAAGCTGCCTTTCTTACCAGTATTTATCAAGAAAAAGTTTATCTTGTAAAATGATAGAGAATCTTTTCTTAAAGATAATGATACTGAAATGTAAAGTTTTATGTAATAGAGATTTATACAGGCACAAATGTTGAAGTTTGGCAGCACTTTGAGTCCAATTTTCAGCTTATTCCTGTATTGAAATCCATGCAGTGGTCAGCTATTTTTCTGATATATCTCGTGTAGAGTGCATTAATCACGAGACACTGAGCATTTGCCATCGGAACTACCCTGTTAAGTACTTAGGAGTTGGTAGTTTAATCAATTTTACACAAATTTTCAAAAATTTAAATTTGTGGAAGTCAAAAACATCAAGTATGGACATTGCAGTCACTACAGTAACTTTGTTTCCTCTCTCGTTAATTACATCCACATGTCTCTAATATACAGACTCTCCTCACTTAACGACGCTTTCCGTTCGGTAAACAAATTCATCGCTCAGTGAGAAGCATACTATGATCATAGTGGGTTTGTGTCAACCATATTTGATAATGTTTTAATATCACCTTTGTACCATTTATAGCTTTTTTGGTATATTTTTAAATGTTTATACAGTAGTTTACTGTATATTGTAATAAACAGAATAGAGGAAATCAGCTCTAATATGCACATATGCATACTGGTCAGAGAGCCCGTCGTAAGTCCGAGTTGTCGGTAAAGAAGTAGTACGTTGCTAAGTGAGGAGAGGCTGTATAACACTTGCTCTACATTTTCGGTCAATCCTTACACCAAAAATAAATGTTATTTTTATATCTTGGTTATAAACCATTCCCGGAATGTTTATGGTGGTTTTTGCTGTTGCGAAATTTTAGCGACCTGACAACAATGTCAAAGCATGTTTTTTTCAGAGACTTGCCTATGTATTTTAACCCTCATTAAACCCCCCTCCCCGTCACCAACCAAAACCTTTGGCCATATGTCAGGGCCAAAATTGGCCTGGATGACACCTTCCCCCACCCCACAGTTGCCTTAAACCCCACCCCCCCCAAATGCTTGCACCACCTCCTGCCAAATGCCTATATTATTATTATTATTTTTTTTATATCACCCCGGCCCGTTTCCCCCAAGGAGGGTGGCCGAAAAAGAAAAACTTCACCATCATTATCCTAGTCTTGAGAAGGGGTGTTTACACTACCGTTTTTAAACTGCAACATTAACACCCCCCTTCTGGTGAGGCACTGTATTCCCATCTCCGGGATCAAGTCGGCCTCCCGGTTTCCTGAACCCCTTTCAAAAATGTTACTTTGCTCAACTCCAACAGCACGTAAAGTTTTAAAAAAACCATTTGTCTCCATTCACCCCTATAAAAACACGCACGCATGCTGTGGAAGTCAGCCCCTGCCACAAAACTCCTTTCCCCTCCCCCCCCCTTTCCTAGGCGACCCTACCCGCCTTCCTTCCACTAAGACGATACACTTTGAGTCTTCGTTTCGCTCCTTCTTTAAGTCCAAAACCACCTAAAACCCCCTTCCCTCAGCCCTGGAAAAACAGTTTTGGTAATCCGCCCTCCCCCAAATTCCAAACACAAAATTCTCTGCTTTTAAATTACCCCACCATTGCCCTCAGCATGACTTCCCTGCCTCCACCCTTCTCTGCTGAAACATTATCCCCCACGCTTCCCCTTTAAGGGTTGGTAAAACTATACTCTATACCCCCCCTTTTTCCCCCAAGGAAAAGTTCTTTGTCTCCACAGCCCCTAAGTGCCCATCCTTTTTTCCCTCTTTTAATTCATGATTCCCCTCATCTTTCATGCCCCCATCCGCTGACAGTCCACTCCCAAATTTTGAATGTTCCCTCCCCATACTCTCTCCCCCCAAATCTGATATTCTCTTTCATCACCTAATCTTTTTGTTACCCTTTTATAACCTTACTTTTCCTGTATTCACTTTATTTCTTTTTTTGCCCCTACCAAATTCATCCCCCAATTCTGCAATTCTTCAGAATTCCAAGAGCACAGTTTTTCCAGCAAAGAGCAGCGGAAACCCCCATTTGTGGTGATTCTTTTTTTTAACTCCACGCCTCTCCCAAGCCCTCGCATTTACTTCTTACAACCCCTCTTAAATATATTAAACAACAGGTGACATCACACACCCTTGTCTAGGCTACTTTTACGGGGAAAAAAAATTTTCCTTTTCCTAATACTTAAATTGACCCTATACCTCGTAAAAACTTTCATGCTTTCAGTAACTACCTCTACACCATCACTTGCAACATCTGCCACTTGCCCCCTATCACCCTGTCTCCCCTTTTCCCAAACCCTAAATCCCACAAAGACCTCTTTACCCTTATCTAAATACTGTTCACTTATTGTTTCCTGTAACCCGGGCCCCAACACCCCCTCCCTTTCAAAAAGCCCCCTTTGTTCATCTGCTACCTTTTCTCCGTCTTTCTTTAATTCTTTCAATAAAAACTCTACCTAACTTTACCGGTCATCAACAGATTACCCCCCTATAATTTTTGCACTCTCTTTTATCCCTTTGCCTTTATAAAAGGAACTATCATGCTTTGCCAACCCCTAGGTACCTTCCTTTTCCCAAAAATTTTTTAAAAAATTGACCCCCCCCCCAAAAATACCCCCACCTGTTTTTAAACATTTCTATTTTTATCCATAAACCCCGGCTGCTTACCCCCTTTCTTTTTACCTACTGCCTACAAAACTCCCCCCACCAAATGGCTTTCCCTCACTCTACAAGATGTTTTTCCCCCTTTCCCTATCCGAAATCACAGCTTCCCTATCTTCTCAACATTTAAAATTCCTCAAAATTTTCCCTTCCATTTCCAAAACTTAAACTCTCATTTAAAAAATCTCCTCTCCTATTTTTAATGACAAACCTTTTGTTCTCTAGGCTTTCAAAACTTTTTAAATTTCTCACCCCAAAACTTTTTTTTTTTAAACAAAATTTTGTTGATAACATCTCACCCACTCTTCATTTGCTCTCTTTTTCATTGCTTCACCACTTTTTAAACTTTTTTTTTTCCCCATTATCTTCCTCCTTGCATCCTTCTATTTGAAAAAAACTTTTTATTGCTAACTTTTTCCCCCTTACTACTCTTTTACATCATCTTCCACCAATCGCCCCTTCCCCTTGACCATTTCCCGTAACCCCAAACTTTGCTGAACACTTAAATAATTTTTAACTACCCCATCTCTTCGACCATTTCTATGCCTCATTAGCCCTCTATCCTCAAAAGTGTTTATATTTACCTAACGCCTCCTCTTTTAGTTTTAAACCTTCACCTCTCTTTCCCTGTGCTTTATTTCCCCTTTTTTCCATCTCCTTTTACTTCGTGTACTACAACTTGAAAGTGATTGATTATCTGTGGCCCTTATAAACTGTCATCTGAAGTTACTCAACAGTCTTTTTTACCAATTTTAATCCAAAAAATACTGTCTTTGCCCTAATCATTGTGTATACTTATTTATCCTCTTTTTTTTAAAATATGTATTACCTATAAATAAACCCCCTTTTTTACAAAAGTTCAATCAAAGGGTCCCATTATATTTTCACCTGGCACCCAAAAATTACCTACCACACCCTCTCTAAAGTTTTCCTATTTTAGCATCAAGTCCCCACCACAATTTTCTCTTCACTTTGGGTTTAAAGGTCCTTACATTCACTTAACATTCCCAAAAAACTCTCTCTTCCTCTGCATTC